GTTACAATATCTACAATTCTGTCTATGCTCTGGCCCATGCCTTGCACACTGCTCTCACGGCCATGTCCTCACACAGAGCAAGAGGGGGCAGGAGCAGGCTGGCAACTCTGACTCTGCAACCCTGGCAGGTAACCTTCATAACCTCTACTTACCATCATGGATAGCATGTAAGGTTGTGATCTATGTTCCCCTGTAAGTCAAAGGGGTTCAACTTCTACTGTATGAGAATCTCCATCTCTTCCCAAGCCCAGATCTCTGCATTCATTCATTTCCTTGAAGTTCTGTGTTCTTCAAGACCATTGGGATTCTTCTCTACCATTCCCATCTCTTCCCAAGCCTTGATTTTCATATTCCTTTGTTTTCCTGAGAAATATTCATGCTTTGCAACCATTGTGTTTGAAACTTATTTCTTCGTTTTCAGCTCATAATGCCACCTGATTCTTCTTTTTTTCCCTATAAGTCTTGGTTTCCCTCTGCCTTCTGCCTTAATAATGGTGCCATCAGTTATCAGTCTGGAAGTCATTCAATTCCAAATTTCTTTTCTAGAAAGAAATCTCAATTCACCTGTCAATTTTGTTCTAATTTTTATATCATTTTCCTGATACCATTTCTTTCTGCATGTAGCTCCACTCATGGGTTCAAAACATCCCATTCAACAACAATGCTGGAGCGGAAATTAGATTGAATGAGCATGGAGAGGTGGTGGGTAGCTTTGAAGTCAAAAACCTGGTTGTATTCCCAAATGACTCATACATCAAGGTCGAAGTGGGAAGGCTGGATCCTCATGCTCCTCCAGAGGAACAACTCACCATTAATGAGAAAAGAATCCAGTGGCCAAGGAGTATGATTCAGGTTGGGATCTAACTGTACTTACTTACTTATTTTATGTTCAGTGTTAACCAAAAGGGAAAGAGAAAGCAATAGATTTCAGGATAATGAAGAAAGTCCTTCCTCCAAAACTGTTCTATGCACCTAGACATTCACAGGAATATTTAATTGGGTTAGATAAAAATGTAGTTCGGAAAATGTAAAATGTTCTTGGAAGAGAGTAGGTATAGAGTAGTGGCTAGTATGGGACTGGGAATCAGGAGGTGTGGGTTCTACTCTAATTTTGAAGTTCATTAGACGTTAAAGGGCCAGGAGTGTAAACTCGGTCTATCCTATCTGGTGGGTTTGCCTGAGAATACACTGCATTGGAGGTGGAGGATTACAGGCATGGCACAAATGGCTTCTTAAAGGGAAGGTGTGTAATGCAATAATGAAAAGAATGTGGATGGTGGATAGTCCAGTGGAGAAAGGACATGATCTAGAAAATGCAACATACTGTGAAGGCACTAAACACCACAGCATAGCATGCTGGCTCATAGTCGGTCACCTAAGTGGTCCTTCTCATGCAGTTCACTGAGGTCTAAGTGATGGTGACTCTGCAGCACTTTAGCCAGCATGATTTCCAGCTCTCCCTGTACACTCAAGGACTGAATTAGAGGCCCTGAGCATGCCCATTTTCCAAGCATTCTCAAAGGATGCTTCAGTACCAGAGAATTGCCAGTGCTCTGTCTCTGACTTCCATGTATTGTTGACTTTACATCACAAAAACATGGATGCACAGCATCACTTTCTTGAGAAAGCTCCAAGGAAGGCTTTGAATGAGTTTGCCTTTACTCGAATGCTGTGCCCTCTCTAGAATTGATCAGGATAATTAAAGAAATTCTGTCTTCTAGAATTAGCCCCCTGTTGAGGGCTGGGATTGTTCTTTGATATTTTAAGGAAATGACATGCAAGAATCAAAAGCAGGAAAGTGTTTTCTTATGCACAAAATACAGGTCATCTACCCTTTAAAGGGTTTAGCAGCAAGCTACCTCAACAGGCTTCAATCAGATGGAACAGATGGTAAGCAAAACCCCCTGAGAGATCAGTGTCTGCACAGGGAGGGTTGGCCTACGCATCGAGACACATCCTCTTTCTTGCTGATGCCACAAGCCTTGGCAATCGAAACAACCTGCAATGTTTTCTCCCTAGCAAGCCCAGCTGTAGCTAAGCAACTTACAGATAAGCAGGGCTACAGGGAGAGCTGGCCAGTTATAATGACCTATAAAGCCCTGGCACAGTGGTTTAAACTGGTGGGCTGGTTGATCGAAATGTTGCCGGTTCGAATCTGCACAACGGGGTGAGTTCTCGTTGTTTCATCCCAGCTCCTGCCAACCTTACAGCTCAAAAGCATGCAAATGCAAGTAGATAAAAAGGTACCACTTTGGTGGGCAGGTAACAGCATTCCGTACACTTCGGTGTTTAGGCATGCTGGCCACATGACCACGGAGACTGTATGTGGACAAAAGCTGGCTCCCTCGGCTAGGAAACGGAGATGAGCACCACCCCCTAGAGTCAGGCATGACTGGACTTCACGTCAAGGGGAAACCTTTACCTTTATAAAGCCCTGACTGGCTTGGGTCCAGGATACCTGATCATGTGCCTTCCCACCACTTGAGATATGAGGCAGAGGCTGTGCTCCGGGAGCCCTCCTTGAAGGAAATTAGGAGGGAGAGTTCGCGGAGAAGGGCCTTCTCTGGGGTGGCAACCCAACTATGGAATATGCTCCTCAAAGAGGTTCACCTGGCATGGACATTATATTCTTTTTGGCGTCTGGAAAAACCTTTTATTTTCCTATTTAAATGTTTAATTGATTTTAACAGGGGGATTAGTATATTAATGGTTGGATGCTGTGGGGTTTGTTTTATTTTACTCATTTATAGTAAGCCATCCCAAGATGTTCTGTAGGGGACGGGATGGGAAAGCTTTTAGTTAATAAATAAATATTACAGACACATCAGCTAGTTAAGCTTTGTTATGCTCCTTGATATTAAACACCTGCTCATTAATTACTGCTGATGCTGTGGCATCATCTCTGTCACATTGGGCTATTTTGGCAGACCCTTACAAGATGGGGGTGCTCTTCACCAAATGACCATTGGCCATACAGTGCGCTGCTTATTCCAACCAGTATTCCTCCCACAGAATATGCCATCTGAACCATTAGCAATCCAAGATTCCAAACCTTTAGGCTTTCAGTTTACTCATAGATGGTCTGATCTGAGAGGCAGTCCACAGTTCTTTCTGTAACGCTAAGTTCTTCCTATGTCATTGGACAGGTGCCTCCTCCTTCTCTGTGTAATGACATCTGCCAACCTGGGTACAGCAAGAAGAAGATCGAAGGGAACAAATTCTGTTGCTATGACTGTGCCCAGTGTCCTGATGGGATGTTCTCCAACCAGGAGGGTATGAAAAGCAGATTCTATTGTTAAAAGTTCAACAATACAAAAGGGATACATTATATTTTAACAAAATGAAACCCTTCTTGGGATTCTCTTGAAAGATTGGATGGGGATGAGGTTAACCATGGCTTTACCTACTGTTCTGCTCCACAATGGATGCAAACCCAAGACATTTGGATATCTGAAAACCTGAAGGACACTCAGTAGCATGTTATGAACTCAGCTTCCTCAGAATGCTCTGAGCTCAGCCCATAATTGTAAGCTCCTTCTGCCTCCACCCCCCACCCCTCCACTTGCTTCCTGGCACATTTGGATTTTCGCTAGTTTTTCTTCACCTCACTGGAAATACCAAGAATAACCTTGCTCCCCCAAAATGTCCACAACTCGGAATGCAATTAGCTGTAATCAGCAAATACTCCAGATATTTTGGAGGGTTTTTAAAATAGGCTCAGTGAAAGCAAAAAGAAAAAGCTAAGAGACCTTTTAAGGAGTGCACCAATTATGCACCACAAGGGCAGAATGCACAAAATGCTGAGCATGGGTGGGATCAAGAAGCATGAAAGGTAACTCCACAAGAATGGGATGGGAGAGGTAACTCTTTTCGATCTTTATACATGGCTACATGATTACTCATTTTCAGACATGGAAAGCTGCATGAGTTGCCCAGAAGGTCATCATCCCAACCAAGTCCAGAATCAATGTACTCCTAAGATGCCAAACTTTCTAGCTTTTGAAGAAACATTGGCCATCATCTCAGTTTCCTCGGCACTTCTGTTCTCTCTGCTCACGGTCCTGGTGCTTGGTATCTTCATTAAGCATCAAGACACTGCCATCGTCAAAGCAAACAACCGGAGCCTCACTTACGTTCTCCTCATCTCACTCCTCCTTTGCTTCCTCTGCTCCTTGCTTTTCATTGGGAAGCCTAACACTGTGTCCTGCCTTCTTCGACAAGCTGCATTCGGCATAGTCTTCTCTATTTGCCTCTCTGCCATCCTGGCAAAAACAGTTTCTGTGGTGCTGGCATTCATGGCTACTAAACCAGGATCCCAGATGAGGAAGTGGGTGGGGAGAAGACAGGCCTATGCCATTGTCTTCTCCTGCTCCAGTATACAAGCAGGCATCTGTGCTCTCTGGCTCATGACTTCTCCCCCATTCCCAGATCTGGACATGCACTCTATGCCTACAGAAATCATCCTGCTCTGCAATGAGGGCTCCGTCTTCATGTTCTATTGTGTCTTGGGCTACATGGGGCTGCTGGCTGCAGTCAGCTTTGCAGTGGCCTTCCTGGCCAGGAAGTTGCCTGACAGCTTCAATGAGGCCAAGTTCATCACCTTCAGCATGCTGGTCTTCTGCAGCGTCTGGGCCTCCTTTGTTCCCACCTACCTCAGCACAAGAGGAAAGGCCATGGTGGCTGTGGAGATCTTCTCCATCTTGACCTCCAGTGCTGGCTTACTGGGCTGCATATTCTTCCCCAAATGCTACAGTATTGTGCTGAGACCTGAGCTCAACAACAGAGAGCAGCTCATGCGAAGGAAAATGTAAACACTGACGTTTTGGGGATCTTACAGGAATAAAAGGTCATGGGCATGAGCTGCACACAAACAGCTTTAGTTCTGTGAAGTTTGCAATTCTGTTCCTCCCCCTGAATTAGGCACATAAAGAAACAGAATTTAACCATTTCATGGGGTCAGTAACTCTGAAAAATCAACACACAACATTCTGTTGATAGACTATGCAATTTCTTTGCTTTGTGAGATAGACCATATATCAACCTGTGTTCAATGTTTTACTTTGAGGATTTGGAGTAGTTCTAGAGCACATCTGTATTTTCTGGCACTATTTGCTTGATCAAATAAGCTGCTGTCACTGTGGTGCACCCATGTGAATGTATTGCAGTTTACCAAATAAGGAAGAATGCCAGAGTGTGAAATTAGGATATGTCTCTACATGCTAGGGCATCATTGTAAATATTCTGAGTAGTGAAAGCATAATTTAGACATCTGTAAGTCAGGAAGTATTCAAGACTGAATGATAACAGACAGATGCACAATGAGCAGGATGAATGGGCAGTGGAAATTCTGGGGAAATGCAAGAGTAGCCCCAGTTCACTCCTCATAGCAATGCACTGATTTTTCTGATGTTAATTTTCTCATCTTAGAAGGTTGAGGGATGGCTTGTGCCCTCTGTCCTGAAGGCACTCTACTAAGATTTTATAGAAATACTCACTGGAATCACAAGAACTCTGGTGTACAGCCATTCCTGCAATAGCAGGCATCCACCCTGGACTTGCAAGGGTCAGCCAACCAGAGGGGCTGCTCCCACAATGGCTCAAACATTGTCAAGGATCAAAGAAAATTCTCTTCAGGAAGAATAAATACCCAGTCAGCTTATTGAAAAGGCATTTTCTGGGGAAATCAAAAGAATGTTTCAATCCAAGGCTCCAGTTTGACACGTGGGGCTGAAGTCACCCCGTGGATGAAGCTTTCATGAATTACTCAAGAGTGCACATTCAGCAATGCAATTGCTGCTGCCGCACTTGCATCCAGGTACAGGTGTGATTAGTTTAGTGTATTGAGCATTTCCAGGGTAAAGGGCCACTGCATAACCTCCTGTTGGATTCCACCCTGGAATCATTCAAAGTTGTCAGAAAGTTGCTATTCCACTGCTGAGAGGCAGAAAGGGCTGGCATTTCATAAACATGTTTGTTGCTTCACTGGTTGTCTGGGGGTTGGGATAACAGATGGTATCCAGTGCTATTATCTGGGAGTTGTCTGGGAGTTGGGATAACAGATGGTATCCAGTGCTATTATCTTCATCACCTCCAATCACAAGCAATATCATTAAGACAAGAAGACTAATCTTCAGTGCCTTCTAGCAAAATGCTAGGGAGAAAGATCCAGTTCCAAAGGTGTAGATGTGTATTGAAAGCACACACATGTACAATGCTGCTCACAAATAACATCACAAGCTAGAAATTGATGGACCTCTGAAATTCCACACACTTTCCCCCTGCCTGATATAAGTTGGCTTCAAATCAGTGAGTTTCTCTTGGCATGCAAAAGTAACCGAACAGCACCGAAGAGAAGACACTTGCACCTTCAGCAGTTCATTGGCAGAGGCAGCCGCCCCCTGAATGCAGCTTGGATGAAGAGAAATGAGTGTAGCACCGATTATTTGGAAAGTAATATGGAAGAAAGGAAGGCAAGAACGTCTGCCAGGAGGAGGATGGCGACTGTGGCACTCATGGTACTGCT